CAAAACCCCAAAACCCCAAAACCCCAAAACCCCAAAACCCCAAAACCCCAATAGTGAAAATCGATCTATAAATGCTGACTTAATGAAATAGCAAATAATAAAAATAAGATATTATAATAAAAATGAAAAAGGGAGGTGATAAGATCTATAAAGTCGTATTCATTAGACATGGAGAGTCAATTTGGAACAAGGAGAACAGATTCACTGGCTGGACTGATGTTGGTCTTACTGAAAATGGAGTTAAGGAGGCCCATTTCGCTGGTTAACTTCTCAAGTAAAACTAATTCGGCTTCGATGTAGCATTTACATCTGTTCTCACAAGAGCTATTATGACTTACAATTCAATTGCTACTGAATTGAATGGACATTACGTTCCAGTTCATAAGCACTGGAGACTAAATGAGAGACATTATGGCGCTCTACAAGGTCTTAACAAGGCTGAAACTGCTGCTAAACATGGAGAAGCAAAAGTGCTTGAATGGAGAAGATCTTATGATATCCCCCCTCCTCCTCTTGAGGATAATGATGAAAGACACCCAAAGCTTGACCCAAGATATGCTGGTCTACCTTAAGATGTACTTCCAAAGACTGAATCACTTAAACTAACTGTTGACAGAGTCTTACCATTCTGGTATGATCAAATCTGTCCAGCAATCCTTGATGGTCAAAGAGTGATTGTTGCTGCACATGGTAACTCTCTTAGAGCTATTGTTAAGCATTTGAGTGGCATGAGTGATGCTGAGATCATCAAGTACAATATCCCAACTGCCTGCCCCCTTGTTTACGAGTTCGATCAAAACCTTAAACCTTTGAAAAACTACTATCTCCTCGACGAAAAGACTCTCAAGGAAAGAATGCAAGCAGTTGCCAACCAGGGAAAGGCTCACTGATAAATCAATACATCACATTCTGGGAAGTACCCTTATTTCACTAGATTTTATTTAAACAAACGTTAGTTCTCAATATTGACTAACGGGGTTTTGGGGTTTTGGGGTTTTGGGGAGATCGGAAGAGCACACGTCCA